AAATACCAGAATGTTCACGTCCTTATTTATTCGGTCGATTTTGGGATATTTAACGAAGCTTTTAAACTGCTTAGGTTATGTAGCATCGGATGGCATAATGTTTAATTGGGAGAATTTGGAAAAATATGGAATAAATCTACAGTCGCCTATTTAAAAACTGCCTTGGTATTTGCCACGTCTAACTGAATGAGTTTCAGTTCAAGATCTAAACCCAGGATCTGGGAAATACTAAGCAGGAGTGCTAAAGCACTCGACAACTATGTTTTCTCAGGTTGGTATGGTCAGAGCTTGATTTCAATAGAAAATTCCATACTTTTCAATGATAAGCCAATTAGAAATTTTCTGCCACAGATGATCTCTGCTGAGAACTTCGTGGAATGTATGAATATGTCTTTCTTCTTTGCTTCAACGATCAAGTGAGTGAGCGTAGTTGGTAATCTCAACTATCATATAATTTCATGTCATAGCACAACACATTTTATAACGTTATGTCTCATTCCTTCAAGGACACGATGAACATCATTCTATTCCATATTTAGCACGTCCTTCTGCATTTAACGCAGTCTTAGCAAAGACGAATAACGTGATAGGAAGAGAGAGCCGAGTTCATGAGCTACTGATGTGATGTCAGGGTTACCATATTCACCATAAGTGTAAATAAACTCGAGAAGGGATAACCCAATTTTAATTAAATTTAATATTGGAAAATTTTACGAAAAACTGTCGAACCATTTCAACTTCAGGTTTTCTGACTAAAAATTTGTATACTGTCTTATCTGGACCGTGTTCTACGTGTCCCACCAATCTCAGCATCCTTAATTTATTCACCCTAATATCTGATGAACAGTAATAATTATAAAACTCTTTATTTCATAATTATATCCATCCTTTTCACACACCGCTTTCTGAAAGTGATATATTCCCCTAATCACTTTGCATTTGTCTTCTGCTCTTGGGTCGACAGACCAATATTCACACTCATAAACAACAGGTTAAATTAAGGAGTACTTCTAAAAATAAGAATTTGAGGCCGTCTCAGTAATCGTTTCTTGTCTGCGTGTTTTGATCAAAGGAAAACGGGTTCTGACTCAACTAACAAGTCGGATTGCATCAGCCAAGTTCTAATTGACCTTGAATTTCGTACGTTTTTTCGCCAACTTGATTTACGGTGAACTAAGGGTCGTAATGTATGACTTGATTTATCCTTCTTGGATGTCACATTAAAATTCAGTGCGATTTCGATATGTACAATTCCTTCTAAATATTCAGAGCAGTGACCGAATGCTCATTTTAACCACAATTTGGACATGCTTAATGCTAAGTCTACTATGAACGAGATACATCACACTGAAAACGACTTTACTTACTCTATCTTTAATGTGCCAAATAACAGTAAATCCTCTATTGAAATCCTAAGTTACCCACTTATATTTTCATGCAGATACTTCTGCAAGTAATTATGTTACAGAGCTTTCATTTCTACAGTATTCTGTCCTTTACATGATTACTTTTCCTGTTTGCAATCGCCATTTGCATCCAGCAGTCAACGAATGCCCTTCAGTGATCTATCTAGCGGTCATTAAGCCAGACGGTTCCGCGGATTATTACGACACGGCTTCAGAAATCCCATGTGCTGAGGGCATGGCCATTATGCAAAAGGAAGATGATGTTGCGTAAGTTCGGAATTACGTTTTGTGCAGACAATTATTTTTACATAATTTCGATGGAGCTACATGGAGCAACATGAAACCAAACTGAAAAATGCCAAATAGAAATATTTTGAATAAATCAGCTTTTAAATAGAGGCAATTGATATTTTGGGCTTTTCACATTCTTTGCTAATTTAGTGAAGACTTTAATAGAATCTATTGTCTGCAGCAACTCAGGTCTATAAATGTTTATCTACTATTCATGTTATGCCTACCTTATTTGTGCACGATTTCTCTCTGGCAGATTTGTGTGGGCGTTTTCTAGGCACTGCTAAACCTTTAACGTGTTGGGTCTACTAGCTCGTAGACAAAATGAACAGGGGGGAAATAAGAAATGGGAAGGTAAATTCTAGTCAGTAAAACCGAGGCAATTTGTCATTAACAACTGAAATGCATTTAGTAGTCCAAACCTGCCAAAAGAACACTTTACCATTCATAATATATGTTACTGACCACCTACAGCAGCCTCCTGCTTGATAATACTCCTTGGATATCCTAATACCCCAATAAAGATTCACCATTCTCCAAGATGATCTTCTCAAGCTATAAGTACCATGATGAATGGTAAGCTGAGGTCGCTGGCTTATAGTCATACCTTCTAATAATTGTGACATATGGTTTATCTCTACTGTAAGAGCTTCAATTATTTCACATTACCAATGCCAGTTCATTATGAGCCGGGATAGCTCAGTCAGTATATTGACTAGCTACAGGCTGCATGGCCAGGGATCAATCCCTGACGGGGGCCATAGGATTTTTCCTTTAGCCTCTGCGTCCAGACCGGCTCTGGGGCCCACCCAGCCTCCTCTACAATAGGAACCGGGTCCTTTCCCGGGGGTAAAGTCGGCTGGGGTGATGCCGACCACTCAGCCCCATCTAGTGCTGAGGTCAAGAGAGGAGCTATACCTCCACTCAACCCAAGCGCCTGTATGGCACGTAGTGGGACAAACTTTACTTTACTTAAATACCAGTTCATTACTTTGTTAAAATAATGTGATTACCTACCCAAGCAGTTTATCCCAGAAGCATTATACTTTTTGTACAAACTAAACATGTGTATGCTGTTCTCAATTCGCTCATAACAATCTTTAGAAAATAATTACTCTTAGTCATTTGTTCATGGTTTATTTCATTGCAGAAATCAAGAATTTGTCAATAAATGAATTATAACACAGCCACCATTCAGGTTTGGGTTTGCCGTCTTACTCGTTTTTACTTCACATGAGGTCTATGTTACATTTATTCTTAAAAACGGCAAAACTTTAGTTTAATCAAATAGTAATAAAAAACTGAAATCCGTGATACCCTGCTCAAAAGGGCACATTCTTTCATTTCAGAACTTAAAAGCAAAACTTAAAGTGAGTTACAGTAAGTCCCACACAACCTCAAGCACAAAACATTCAATACTGAAAACAGCAGGTAAGAGATAATGTAGAATGTGCCAGCAATTTGACAAGATGAGTTTTACCAAAATGTTTCTAACCACCCACAAGATAAAATGGTAAGATTTGAGGTTTTCACAGCAGTGAGTATGAAGATTTCTGTCTTCTGGGGTGTTGCGCCCTGATGACAGAGGCAATATGACCTCTGAAACGTTGGTAAACATCGATCAGACTACACAGGGCAACAACCCAGAAGACAGATTTCTTCATAAAATGGTAACATAACCTCGTCTCATCTCAGGTTCTACAACTCAGTGTGGGTCCTGGCTACCTCTTTTGGAGGTTATTTAATCTATTTGAATTTTAGTAGGACTCCTTGGACAAGTGATCATACCATCGCAAGGCCTCTCTCTACCTGTATACAGAAAAACAGACAAACATCCATGCCTTGAGTGGGATTCAAAGCCACAGGTGACATGACCTAGACCATAACCCACAGTCAACATCACTGTATTCCTATCACAAATCAAATTCAAACCAAAAACACAACTTATAAAACCAATATAAATAGAGGTCATCAGAATTCTAAGACTCTAACAAGATTGTTCAAACAATTTCTTTCATATCACACTAGCAAAAATTTCCTACAACAAACATCAACAATCACTCATAATGCAGTAGATCTTGCTCATTTGTAGGTTCCTGGATCAAGGTTTTGCTTAATATTTAAGCATCGTGGCATAGGTGTCTCGCTCTTTCACGGTCGCACTCGAGCATGTGCACGATAGCCCGCATACACCCACCTGTTCGCAGTTTTTGAAAGTATCTGCTGCCCTTACGTTTGAACAAACGACAACTTTCGTTCTGGAATGCTGTCATTGAGAAAAATATTTGAAGGACAAACCAAGTTCAAAAATCTGAGACCAAATTATTTCGAAAATTCGTTTTTCTACTTATTGTCTGACAATTTACAAGAACTCAGTCTACAAATTAAAAATATTATGTAGATCTTAATTAATTTCACAATTCAGAAACTAATGTATGATAAACTTAAGTGCTACATTTAATTGTTATTGTACATGTTATACTATAAGCAGTAAGCACATGTTTGTATTTTAGCCATACACTAATACCTACTACACTAAAAATCTAAAGTAACTAATTCACAATAATAAAATAAGAAGTCTTATACTCTAAATACAGAAAGTAGCCCATGTTAGGTAAATATATACTTAACTGCTTAAACTATGTACATAAATGGGTTCTGATATTACACCTTTAATTTAATTTTTCTTATACAAAATCAAGAGATGACATAAAAAGGTATATCTGTGATGGATCAACATTTGAGACAGCTCACTCAACCAATGAACTGAGCCATGGGATCTTCATCTCGCCTCTTCTTCATATAATATGCTTCCATCTCTTCATCCGTCGGTTTCTTTATTTCAGTCATGCTGTTATAAGGTCGTTTACGCTCATCCATAGCAAGAATACGTACAGCCTCTTTATGATTAAGTTCCTCTTGTGCCAACGCCTGCAAAGATTTGTGCACACATTATCAAATGAAAATGCAACCTCTGCTAAAAATGATGCTTCAAATCCATGTAAAATACAGCAACAAGCACAACTGATCTCACTAGCTCTATTCTGCTTGCATAAATACGTCTTAGGATCATTACATACACAGTGGTAATACTCACCTACCAATAAAAAGTAAACATCCCTTCTGTATTTGAATTTGATGATTAATATTCAAACTGATTCGGTATGCGTCAACATGTATAACACGCAAAAACATAAAACTCAAGTGCTTGGAATGAATATTTGTTTAAGAGTGGAAACTGTAAATATGTATGAATGAAGTTCCATGTAAGTTCAGAGGTCTCAACATATACAGAGAACTTTTATTTGCATCACAGATTTACACACAGCTCTGTAATAACCATACTTACAGCCTTCAATTTATCCTCTTCACTTTCCTCCTTAGCTTTAATTTTTTTCCTTTCTTTCTGTTTCCTTTTCTTCTCTTTTCTCCTCTTTCTCTTCTCTTTCTTGCTATTCTCAGCAGCAAATGCTTTTCGTTTCTCACATTCTGAATCACTCTGCAAATAAATGGCAAAGTGCTTATGCTAATCCACAACAGAATCAGTAAGATGAAAATTCCCATCCTTTCAACCCTGAGGACATTAATTCATTTTAAGATGCAATAATAATAGAAGCATCTGAAAATAAAAGTTGCAAAAATGCCATGTCTACCTGCCTACCTGTCTGTACACAACACAAGCACCACAGAATTGATTTGCATTAAATTTTATATTGGGGAGTTATACAAAAATTTGTTGACACAATCTAATTTCAGTGAAGTTGCTGACCAAAGCTCCAAGCTCTCTGGACCTAAGGCCTCGGTCAGTCATCCCAGGTAAAGAAGTCACTGTACCCCAGTCAGCTGCATAACTATGTGCAAGAAACCCCAAAAATGATATTACAGTCAGACAATCCACCGAAGCAAATGTCACCGACACCATTTGCAACAAACAAAAATCAAATTCTGGCAAACACACTAGAAATGTTATCCTATGAGCAAATTCCCCGCACTTGTGAGGGTGCAGCCAGTTAAGATCCATGGGCCTCCTCTAATTGTGGGATGGGACCGACTAAGTAACAAACATGTTACACGTTCACAAATGATTTACGAATTATAATCTGTCAAGTACTGTTCAGTATTGTCAATGTGTCATGAACACTTACATCTGATGAAGAATCTGAACTCTCAACAGAACTACTGGATTCTTCCTTCTCATGGTTATGAGAAGATTCACTAGATGTCCCAGCAAGTGGTCCAGACGTATTTGATGATGCGGCTTTCCCCGCTTCACCAACGCAGTAGGAGTTCTGTATACAAAACAAAGTATTTTATCACCCACAACACTGAGAGAGGTAATTAATTACAAGTACAAAATACACAACAACATGGACACTCACCTTCACAAATGAGTGACAACACTTGAATCCCCAACGTCCATTGTGCCAGTAGGACCCCCACACAGAAGCGTGGTTATTAGGGAACACGTCCTCTTCATATTTGGAACGGATTATTTGTTTCTCTTGGCCCTGTGCATTAATCATATTACAATTAAATATGAATGATTATATTTTATAATTAATGATTAACAATTACCCATTTAATCCATTACTAGTAAACACAACTGTTGCACACTCAAGAAATTTTGAATCACACAAAGTAGATTTGTTTGTAACTGATTCTTCAAAAGCTAATAGTCACTTAGCTACTCAATATATTTCCATTTTTTATGGAGCCTGATGGCTCATTACCAACTTACAAATGAAATGTAACTGCATTAAATGTTATTAAAAGAAAACAGAAATGGAAACTTTGATTTCATATGGAACAGTCAGTTACACACTGTGGCCAAGGGTTCTGTTCTTACCTTGATAACCTTGCCATAACGAGAGTACTCCACGTACTCCTCAGTCTGTGCAAGCAACAGAGGTTTGGGAGGTGCCTGGAGATGTTCTTCACCTCCGTAGCGCTGAAGGATGCTCTCCTGCACCTGACTCTTGAACTGGTCCTTCTTTTTGTCATACTCCTTCTGAAGCATCTCAAGTTTAGTGGGCTCCGCCAGCAAATGCACATCAACACCTTTCTCATATGCCTCCCAAGCAAACACCTGTGCCACAGAGTGCTTCTGGGTATCTCCAGAGAATCGCACAAAATTCTCACCAGCATAATCAACACTGAAATGAATATGACACTCGTTTTTACTGACAAGCATTAACATATATTTAACAAGTTAGAAAAATTATGCAGAGCATAACAGTTCTAACACATTTGCTCTGTTATTACCTTTTACATTTCCTAAATATTCCATGCACATATTTATATATTGGTTTGGTATGCATTACAGTGTTAAATGTTAATTTTTCCCTATAAACACCACTGTTTTCATATAAACTGTTCGGTCTTTAATTTAAGCAAATAAAGACTTCTGTGATAATCACTTGTTTCTGCAAATAATCTGGTCATCAACGTACATTAATGTGTAATTCTTTTCTTATTCACAGTGATTCTTAAGTGACATCCATTTTCATTTATCTATTACATACGCACACAAACAAAATTAATATACTGCTTCCTTGTATAAGTATCTTGTTTGTTCTAATACAACTTGAGTAACTGTTCTTACCCTAATTTTTATGTAGGCTTCAGTTACAATACATTTCATTGCCTTTATTAACTCCTTGAAGTCAAGAATAAAGTAAATAGCATTTTAAAAAATTCAATTCTTACCTCAAAGGAAACACAACACTGCCATTACCAAGATCAACTGATTGATACTATTTGGAGGCATAATCACTGATTATTCTAAGAACCATATAAAATCCACATAAATACACTCTGTTGGCAAAATGCAGAGTTACTGATTGTTAAAGCAAGTGGTACTTATAGCTAGCACGAAGCTTTGAAGTTAACTGTTAGAGGATGAATAAATTTTACTAATTGTAATTCCTGCAGTTAATTCAGTGGTTATGTTACAAGATTTGTACCTCAACACTAATTCAGCTGACAAAACATGAAAAGCATGCATTATAAAAAATATGAATATTTACTCTTGCTCAACAAGCGAAGCACTAGCATGTGGATCATCCCTCATAGAACGTGTCTTAGGATCATAGTAAGCTGAGTTTGGATCCAAATTACGCAGATACTTGGCTGTATCTTCACGTATCCTCAAGTTACGCACTGTGATCCGCTGCTTACTGTCTACCTTGGTACCAGGCATGTCCACCTCATCTACATATTTGTCTTCATCCTCTTTGTCTACATCCTCTGACTGTAATAAATACAAAAGTTTAGTGCCTTGCACTGTCTGTGGCAGTGTCAGGGCAGAAGATATAATTAATGTGATCTTAAAAAAAGCTCTAAGTGTAGACAATAGCTCAATTAAAGGTAAAAAGATATTTTAATAATTAAACATAACATCAAATCTGATAGCAAAATGCTGCAAAACTAACATACACTTAACAAGGCAAACACCAATGATGCAGAATCCCAGAAAACCATAATCTAAAGACTAGGAAAAAGTTTCTTGTACCTCAACATCCCCATCCACAGTCGAGTTCAACTTATCTGCTCTCAGTTGTCTCTTTGCCTCCTCAATCTTCTGATATTCTTCAATAATCGCTTTATGTTGTGATGGGTCATAACCACTCCACCTGTCACGCTTCCCATCATAATCCATTGCCAACTCTGGCTGAATAAACTCATCTGCAGCAATTTTAGCTCCTGCAAATAAATACACAAGCATAGTTTAATATTAAAAGTTATGAAATATATATTCTGATGAAAATGTAACAGCAGCCAACTACTGTGGTCTCACAAGTGCTGGAACTGTTTCAGTCATGTACACAAGGGCACAATAATATTTTAAAAACTTATACTAAAAAATGTTGATGTAGCTAAAAACTACCATTTGATTCCATAATTTACAGCTCCTACATCACAAACTACTAAGGTAGTGTAAATCATGTCCTCATATTCTGCAAATATTACAGGACTTGAGGGATCTGAGATATTCATGGTAATGCAGATGTCAATGCTGGTCTTCTGGAGGTGTGACTTTTGTCAAAATGTTATAATTTACAGTCACTTCATCAAAGTATTTATTTCATTCTTCATCCTCAGTTTATTTAAATCCTTTGGCATCGACAGGTTAATGGCACAGCATACAGTACAGGCAAATCACTCAAGAATTCTGTGATAAAAAAAGTTTCTCTTCAGAATCAAAACTAGTTATTGCTGTACACTACTATAAACATGGTTTCTTGCGTCTGCAAAACACTCACCTGTATATTTAGCACCCACTTTCCGTGGTCGTTCCATGCAGTCTTTCTTCTTATGTGTCATTGCCCCACAGTTTTCACAAGACCCTTTCCTGTATTTCACTGCAACAGAGGTCTACAGAAAAAAAAAATGCAATGCAATGTGACAGTTCAGACCATTTCTCCACAGAACACATTTTAACATAATTCTTCCATCTAAGCCAAGGTCTCCCATGAAATCACTTTCATAAAATTTCCAATCAAGATTTTATACATATTTCTCATATCCCCCATGCATGTTGTGTGTTTCACCCAGCACATCTTTATTCAATTTCTCACTCTAATGCTAGATAAAAATTAAAAATCGTAAGCTCCTCAAAATACATTTTTTCCCTTTTTCTATTCTCCTCTTCCTTGGATCCAAACTACAAACTTCCAATTTGTGAGTGGAAAGAATCTACTGCCAAATTTTGGGCCTCTGATAAACATTGGAATTTAGTGAGTGTATTTTTACCTTACTAATTAACTAACTCTGCACAGCAGAATTTTTTGTTGATAAGTAAAAAAAAAAATCCCACATTTTACAAAACATGAAGGTTCATAACTTCCATGTTCACTACAGCCCACCCTTAAATTGAAATCATAGCTACCAGTAGAATGAAGTTACTCACTGTGTCAACTCCTCTTTTGTACCACTCATCTAGTTTTGAAAACGTCTTCTCCTTTTCTGGCTGCGGTCGCTGATGTTTTAGGGTGGGACCTTTTGCACCAAAGTACCATGGGGCAGATGATATGTATTGTGGGATGTGAGGGTTGATATCTTTTCCTTCCTCATCCACTGCAGCTGGAGCAGTTCCAGCCTAGAAAACAAGAAGTTTAAATTTAAATTATAATAAAACTCTCTCTAAAAATAGCTCACTCAGTTGTAATTACTCAGCCGGTCAAAACCTCCCTGATTTAATAGATACCTCTCATTATCACACCAGTAAAATCCACTTCATTGTCTCACATCCATTTTCGAATTGCTTTCAATCTCTGCATTGGTCTCCCATGGAGTCTCTTGTTTCAAGGCATTAGACCAAAATGTTGTTTCTATTCTCTTCATTAGTGCTACATGACCCAACCATCCCATCCTCCTTGATTTAATCATCATGACAATACTAGACAAACAGTATGAAGCTCATTATGATTCTCTTTATGAATCCAAACATAAATTGCTTTCACATATCACAAGACCATATTTTAGCTTCACAGAATACTATGAACATCTTTACGTTTTCTGTATTATCATGTTGATACAAAGTGTGTTGGTACAGAATGGCTACTGGTTGTTTCATAAAGCATGTATGACTTCATAAGCAAAAACTAATTTTTTAACTTTCCAAAAGTATAAATCCTAAGGAAAATATTTAAATTGGATTCTGAGTAAACCGCTGAAGCTATAGGCATTTCAAGAGCTTTTGTCTGTTAAGAATGGTTGATGTCTCTGCAATAAATTGTATGGGTAAATTATGCATTTCTATTTTTTCATGCAAGAGCAAATTTACCATGTCAGGTTACAAATGGATGAGACAGGCCTGTTCTGAAACATTTAAATTTAAAAATTCAGTCCATATCACAATGATGTCTCCCTTACAAAGCTCAAGTAGTTAATTATGTTTAATAAAATAATCACTGTTTATTCTAAGAATCATATGACAGGTAAACTGCAGAATTAATAACTGTTAAAGTAAGGAGCACACAGTTACCACTGGACTTTAAAAGGTTAATCTAATAATAAATGAGTTTGTGAATAAGTGTTAGTAAACTTCTTTTTACTATAATATAATACCTTCCGTGCTTCTTCAAGTTCCTTAGCTTTCCTCCAGTCTTCTCGGGATTTCTTTTTAGGTTCATCTTCTTCAAACTGACTTTTATTTCGGAGTACTTCAGAAACAGGAACATTATTTGCAGTTGTCATGGTGGACAACTACACTATACTATTTTAAACACACTGAAAACAAGAACAAATTCTTTTTGATTCAAAATTCATTCAGCACTTTTTCTGCTTTCATTAAACAGACCATTAAAAAAATGTATGCTCATTTGGTGTACCATATTTGGAGAAAATAGGTATACCAAAACTGTCTAAAATCTATTTTTTTAAAACTATGTCAAATCAAAGTTTGCTCCATTTGACAAGAGTGAGTACAAACATCCACAACACATACTACATGTGTGCTTATATATACAGACAATAGCAGTGGAATTGTTGTGGTGGATTTATTATTGCAACAGAAACATACATTATTCATCAAAAATAATTGTCCAAACATAAATTTGCAAAAACCACACATATCAACACTTATGTATACTGGCATCTCACAAACAAAATTCACAGCCAAACAAGAGTTTACTTCAGCTCTGAACAAATAATGTGCTGCATATGGGTTAAAATATAATTCTGAAATATTGTGGGCTACTAGCTTTTTGAAGAAAAACAAATTTTGTTAAGATAATTTATTTCTGTAGAATGTTAAACAACAGCAGGCACACAAAATATACTTTCATCAACTTTAACATGATATCAATAACTAATAAATAATTGGAAACAGGCATGTTATATTTGGTTAATTAGTTTAATTAATGTACTTATCTCTTAACAAAACTGCATTAATACATAAAAGCCTGCAAACACATTCCTGATGTTTACAAATGTATTTTCTGTGATTTTAACTCATATCATGTTTCAATTGCATTGAAATATAATAAGTATTGACCATAGCTCTCAAAATATTCCATATACCAGGGTATTTACTAGTAACAATAATTTTTCAATTAAGTTATACAACAACATTTCAAAAGTTACTTTCTTCTAGAAAACAACCAGAGTTCACTGCTTGAAACTTACAGTACTGAGATCTCATAGTGCTGCTACAGTTCACACTACACTCCTTTAGTAACACAATTTCAACATACTCAGTCAAGCATTCACTTAAATAAGTAAGTGGCATATTTTACTACACACATCCTTTTTGTCAAAAGCCACATTTCAAACAGATAAATGTAATATGACCTCCCCACTGCAGTTTTTTGAGTTTATATTCCTACTAAACTTACTTGTGAAAATAATAATTACCAAATAGTACACAATCCACATTCATTTATTCAAGTGCTAGTGACATTTCTTGACATGTCATATGGAAGCAAAGTAAATGTTAACAAATTTTATGAGAGCCCAGTATTTGAATAATCTGATCCATCCAGTAGATATTCAAGCAATACAAATCTGCTAGCACCACTCAAAATGTTACACAACAAAAAGCTGCAAGTGAAAATCTCAAGAAAGCTCAGACCATCCACTTATGGTACGAACGCTCCAAATCTAATAACATGGTATTCGTGCCACAGTGGTCAGTCATTGTTAAATAATTTAGAATAAATACAGAATGGGCTGTACAGCTTACCTCTAATACACAACAGCCGTCAATGGATCTCTGAATGGGCCTGGGTATACTTTCGCAACATCTTCCAGAAATCTATCAAACTTTTCTCCTGTACTCAGTAACTCCATAGGATGGAAGTACAGGTATTGAAACAAACACAGGTCACGAGTTCTTGACTCCTGAGCTTCATCTACAAAACGTTTTGCAGTACGCCACATACACTTTACTTCGTTACTTTTCCCTTCTGCATTATCAGACTCCACAAATTCTAAATGATGGTCAACAAACTCTTTCTGAAACTCATCACTCTTCAACTTTTTATACGATTCCCACGTATCTGTCAATATTTTGGAGCCTTGTAAAACAAAAGTTTTGATTAATGGAATCAGAGTCCCAGCATTGTTCTTTTGAATTTCAAGCAAAAAACAATCATTTGTGTCCTTATCTACTCCTTCTAGAAAACAGACTCGTTTCCGCTGAGAAGCGATGAATCTGTCAACGTGAAATTCATTTATCACCACCACATGACCAGGTCCACCAATAGGTTTGGTCCGGTTACTTACAATCACATAGCATACCTCACGACAGAACTGATAGTAGTCCAGAACAGTAGTCTTGCTCAATTTTAGTTGTTCAGCAGATTCACTAATATTATCACCTCTAATCCAAAAATATATTAACATAAAATTTTGGCGTACACTTAAATGAGACCCAAAGAACCATGTATTTTTTGTGACTGACCACTTTTTGCGACACTTTTTTCTTGAGCACCTCAATGAAAATGGCACTTTCAGTCCTTCATTGGAGCGTTTATACCAGCCAACATTGCCAATGAAACAGACTGGACAAAGTGTTTTCTTTTCTGGTAATAAATTTTTCTTCACTGCAAACTCTATAGCTGTTGATTCATTTTCTACTGCTACTTCCAGCTCCTCAAATTGCATAATGCTGCAAGATGTATACTGTACAAACAAAAGCCCACATATAAATTATATTATTGGTCTTCAGGCAAAAGTGTTGTAGACTGACAACAGCTGTTAACACATATACATATCATATCACATTGAAAAATTAAGAATATTCAAAATAATTAAAAATAAATATAACAGAACATTCATAAATATCAAGATCAGAGATCTCCAATGGTATGATGTTTCTCAAAGGCCAGTCAATTTGTACCTCCAATTGTAATGTCTATAGTTTAATCAGGGGACAGGTGAACAAATATACATATACAATTTGCTAACAAGGTTCCAACTAACCCCAGAAACTACAACACCCTATGTGGTATTTTATGTAAAAGTAGTATGTTAGTGGAAACAGAACTTTATCAATGAAATCAGTGAAGTGTGGCAATGGTATTATTTCTCAAAGACAAAATCCAAAACACACTCATGACCTTGTAACTTCAGCCTGAATACCAATATAATTTAAAGTGCATGCATCACAACCATACAGACAATACATAACTTATCAATGTGCATATATGAACCCTCATAACAAAAGAAGATCCTGTCTGTATTTTAATGGAACATTACATTCAGAATAACGTGTTCTAAACGTGAGTATTTTTACAAGTTAATGCAACAGCACACACAATGGGTTCTGTATCACGTTTGATGACGGGGTAATAAATTGAGGGCTATGGCCAAAACATGAAGTTGGCACTTTTTCACGACACCATACTGAAACTTTCAAGTAAAACATGTCCTCTGTACGTAACTCCTTTTTAAAATTTCCTAAGAAAAGGCGATATTGTTTTCTGCGCACGTGAGATAAGTGCTCAGGCACTCACATCTACAAAAGTAATAATACTCCATTTGTTACGACGAAAATGGTAAAAGAAATACTAGTATAAAAGAAAACGTCGAACGTTAAATACCTCGCTTTTTAATTGCTAAAACCTGTTCTACAACGCCGAACGCAATTTATTAGTATATTGTAAAGCTGATTACCTTCAAAACAGATGGCTAAAACCAATTATCTGACTATAACACACTACTGACAACCATATTACTTTGAGAAGTGACTTCACAAATTCACATTAAACAGGATAATAAACTCATTTTGCAGCGAATATAATGCACAGAATACCAACATACAAAAAGCAACAGATCGAATGTTTTCCATTGAAACTACTGTGTTGCGCCATAGTATAAGAATACTTCGTGTGATTTCTGGTTTTCAGCAACAGATCTAAGACTCGCGAGACCAAAGAATATCATTACAACTTATATTCTGGTTCTTGGTATTAATCTATGCCTGGTGTACTGAACTTATGTTTCAGATATGTACGTTTATATCAAACAAAACTAGAATATTAATTTATCAGACATTATTAAAAATGATAATCTATGATGCTTGTTACTTCTGTCAGTCAATGACCTCACAATCATAGACTGAACCAAAAGAAGCCATCATCGACAAGTCATTGTGGACGAGAGAATATAAATATTATTTTTTTATAATCTGTACTAGTATATTGGCCTATTTTACGCCACACCCATAAAAACTGTGAAAAACAGAACATTAATGTCAGGCACTGTAATATATATTCAGTAGGACTTCC